CAACTGCACTACTCCAGTTCATGCAACCGTGGCAGTGCGCAGCATCACAAAGCCCCTACATATGCAATATCAAAAAGGGTAGCGTAAACTGTAAGATATCCAGATACCTCTGCCCTATGTTGGCGATTTGCCTGCGCCTTTGAAATACCGCTGGCCCAAAGTCGCTGAAATGTTTTGAACCATTTTGCAGAACTTTGTAGGGAAAGTTGTGCAAAAAAAATGAAAAAGAGAAAGTTGTGCACATCCATGCTTGGAGACATAATAGTGTTGCATTCAGACTAGCAAAAGAGGAGTTCAATGGATCTCCGACTAATGTGAACCTCCATTTCACGTTTCCCTGAACAAGCTGCAGAAACAAAAGGAACTGCTGGAAAAAGTATGTTCTTCAGAAAAAAAAAATCTTTTCAATGGCGGGATCAAAAATAGCCATAGTTCAAGTAAATCAATCCATGGAAAATGCCAGCAAGACTTAATCATGCTGGAAGCCACATTTAATTACAGCTTTTTAAGCTCAGCTGGGAGAAAAGAAGAGACTTAACTATGTCACCTGAGATGGTCTAGATACAGAAACTATTTGTAACTTAACAAAAACATTTGCATCACAAAACGCTCCGGGGCAGCACCGCAGTAAAGGAGATGTGTAATGAGCAGGGATCACGGCACCAAAACAATCAGGGTTGTAAATAACGACTAGTAATCTGGGATCATTTCCATTTGGCTTAATTACCGGGCAGCAAACATGTTTTCTTCTACCCGAGGTAAATACTTTCCAGAATACGTGCGTTATCATACTGAGCTCGGCAAGCACCCCAGTGCAAAATCTGAATATCAGAAGGGCCATTGAATCAAAAGGAGAACGAGAGAGTGAGAGAAGTGCCACAACTGGACTCGCTACTCGGTCGCGCGCGTTCAACAAACTTCCCTGGAGCAGAATTACTAGTGTGGCCATCACAACTGTATCTACTGTAAGGACTGACCCCAGCACACATGCCAGGCAAAGGGGCGGTGGCTAATGGGGGGGGGGGATTCCATCGGGTGCTAATGAATAAAAAGTTCCTTTTATTTTACTGTTGTTTTTGGTTCATTAAATTTTCCACAGATTTGCAGAGAAGAAAACGTGATCAATAAACCTTGACAAAAGTGAACGTGTGAAAAAGGCAAAAGAAAGGCACAGGAAGATAAAAGTGATATCCCGATCACAGATTTCAGAGGCAGATGACCAGAGCTCTGGGCTGCTGAATAATCTGAATAGACCATCATTTCTTTACAGCCTTTCACTTTCTTTTCCCTGACTGTTGGAACTCTTCATTCAATACAATAGTAAATGCACTAAAACTTTTTTTCTTATGCTAATGGCTGAAATCGGGTACTCGCAGTTAAAACACACTTCCCACCAACTTGTTTTCTTTATAAAAAAAAAAAAATTAACCTATTCAAGTTAAACCAAAATGTCAAAGACAGCTTAGAGCTCACTCTCAGCATTCCACAAAATTAATGTGGGGTTGGGTTTTTTTCCTCTCCAGCAGACACATAAAGAGGAAAAAAAAATTTTGAATTGGGGAAAAAGCTGCTAAACTCCCTTCAGATGAGAAAGAGCATTTAGAAGGAAATAAAATAATAAATCCTGGCATCTAAGAGCACAATGTGTAGGAATAGTCGGAACAAAAAAATTAGAATAATCTACTCAGAGGTGACAGTCGGTCTCAAACAAATTTGAAGCAAGAAAAAGTATTTCCCATCAGCTAATGCTTTTGAAGCATCCAAAGCCCAATGATGTCAGGATAAAGGCTCCCACTGATGACAACTGGCTTTGCATCAAGCACCAAGGCAACTATTCCAAAAAATTTCCATTCATTTTGGGTGTCCACCTTCAGGCACCGAGGCCAGACTTTCTCTGATGCTAAGCAACCACAACTCCTACCAAAATTCCTGTTGCTCTGAACTTCTGAGGTCTCAAATGGGCCCTAGATGTCTCAAATGGGCAGCCAATAAATCATGGCCCAAATAATTTGTCCTTCCAGTCATCGAGTTTAGCCGACAGGATTTAACTTCCCATGGTCCATACATCACAGACAGAATTTCTCACTACATTTCTGAAAGGAAAACATATTTCTGCTCTTTACCAACTCAGGAGCTCCCTCTTTCCCCCCCCTGCCCATTATATAATATAACGTGTGTTTCTTGAACCCCCCAATGCAATGCCCTCTTGCACGAAACATCATTTGTGCCACTGTTGTTTTATGCAGAACGACTTCATATTCCCTTTTTTTTAGGGAACGCGACCAAATTTGGCAACTGCCAGGTCTTCGGTCCTGCTCTGCCTGCGGTGCAAATGCAGCTGTTCTTTAAATGACTTAACACAGGTACAGAGCCCATTTCTCAAGCAACGCTGTGGAAACCGTTCCCATCGGGAGCCGGGTGGACAATAGGACAAGCTGCCCAAACTGAATGTCCCAGCAGCGAGGGTGAAGTGCAAATATCACATTTCTATGAAGCCCTGGAAGCTGCATAGAAATGGAGTGGCAACTAATTAGTTTGATACTATAGTCACATCTAATGTTCCTAAGTAGCCTCTTTGAAAAACTTGCTGCCTCGAAATCCTCGGTCAGATTAAGTGGGCTCTTTGTGATGGGGCAATAGATAGGTGTTTGCTGCACAAATACATATAGATTTCGGGGACCGCGTCCTGAATCCAGGCTCCGCTAATCTGCACTGGAAACTTCACTGTGAACAGAGCACTTCTCAGAGCACAAAAAGCATGAAGTATTTGTGTACCTTTCAGACTGCCGAGCAAACAACTGGCTTACAGTAAGCCACCAAAAGCAGAGGGGGGCAGTTCACTGGGTTTCTGCTTCGCTTTTGGGATTGAGGTGATCTTTGTGTTACTAGTAAAATGCTCTACCACTGCCTGCGACCCAGCCAAAGTTTGGGAAAGCTGCTTTCCAGAGTCAACCGAAACAAAATATTCGCATCCAGGGGTGGGGGGGAATAAGGCTTCTTGCGTCATCCAAAAATAATGGTGTCCATAATACCTCTGAACTCATCCTCGAGCGGTCCTTTTCTTCTAGGGGTGACTGCAACCTGGCACTAGAAGGGAAAGAGCTGGCCCAAGGTTTAAGGGAAGCAAAACCTGTCCTTAGCTATAAAAGCTTCAATTTGTTTTCAAATCTGAGTTTTTTAAAAAAACAACCAAAACCTGGTCATTTATATAATTTCATGGCAAAAGAAAAAAAAACAAACAACTATCCAAATATTATTCCTGTATTTCAAGTGGCCTGGTAGAAATCGAGGCTGTTGTGTACTCGGTGCATCGGATCGCGTTCTGTTTTCTTTTAGAAGCTGGAGTGACTTCAATAAAGTTCCTCCAGACTGACACCGCAGCCAACGAGAGAAGAATTTGGACCGGAGCTAATTAGGAGCTAATTATTTTTCTCAAATAAATGACCTACCATAAACAATATTTGTATGTCTGCATGCATCAGCTTTGACATGCTGGGGAAAAAAATACTCAGAAGGCAGTTGGAAGCAGGCTTCAAGATCTGTTTTTTTCTTTGAAGAACAGCAGTTGCATTTTTGGGCACTTCAAAGTCGCATACTTTCGGCAATAACAACATTCAAGATCAAGTGAAGCTGACTTCACCTTGCTTTAAAGATTAGCTCTTTTACACAGCGCAGGAGTGGATAGACAGGAGCCTTAGATTAAAACCAGTAGTTCTACTTTACTTGGCCGTGTACTTTCAGGGCCCGGGACCAGGCCATGTTTTTATTAGCTAGCAAGTTTCAAAAAAGTTCTTTACAAGGGGGAAAAAAAGCATACTGATATTACTGCCCGTTTACAATCACATCAGCTGTGCTGTTACCTTCACCGTGCCACTCTCTGGTACATGCAAATGCTTGACAGGTGTCAAAGGTGCCTGGCGCTCCAGCGAAAATGCAAAGTGCCATAGCCACACAGCAGAGAAGTTGAACCAAACTAATTCACCCAAGCAAATGTGCCGTACACCGTAATTACCAGGCATTTCAGTCTCAAGCAGCAAAAGTGGTCATTTAGCAGAAGCTCCTTCTCCAGGTGAATGCAAAAGAGAAACAACCACCCTTTCTCCCCTAGCAAATTTCAGCAAATTAGTTGGAGAACTTAAAAAAAGAAAAGGCACAGGAAGGTAGCTAGAACAAACAGATCCAATCAGTGAGTCGTCTAACAAATCAGCCTATTCCACCCGCTGTATATTTTGGATTTCACAGTTTATTTACTTTATTTTTTTGGCACCAGCTCCTCCGTGCATGCCAATACAATATTTGTTTAAATGCTATTTCATGCGGCATGCTAGCAAAACGTTGACTTTCAAATTCTTGTGCATCCCAAGAGCCTCAACTGCAGAAAAGGCGGGGGGTTAAAACATTTTAAAAAAGGAGGGGGAAGACTTATAACTGCTGCCTCTATCTCCACCGATTCCTTTATCAAACTCTAAGGTTTGTGCACCGAGGCGGGCGGGATGGAGCCGGAGGGCCCCGGGGGCCGGTCCAGAGCACCCACTTGCTGCCTGGACACCGCACAGAGGAGCGATGGCCACTACAGAGGGGTGCGCACCCCGCTGTAGAAGAGGTGCCCACGAGTCCCATCCTCCACTTGCTCCATAGAGTCCAGGGGGCACATCTTTGCATGCCCCCCCCCC